TGAAATATGGTTAGGTATGCCTGTTGGTTAAACCACCTATTCTTCCTCTCGCGTGAAATACGCTTGGATTTCGAGTTCACTATTCCTCCTCTTGCATGAAACGCGTTTGCATTTCGAGTTACTTTTTCTTCCTCTCATGTGAAACGTGTTTGGATTTTGAGTTCACTATTCTTCCTCTTGCGTGAAATGCATTTGGATTTTGAGTTCACTATTCTTCCTCTCATGTGAAATGCGTTTGGATCTCAAGTTCACTATTCCTCCTCTTGCATGAAACGCATTCAAATTTTGAGTCCAATATTTCTCCTTTTGCGTGAAACGTGTTTGGATCCCAAGTTCACTATTCCTCATCTCAGCGTGAAATGGGATTGGATCTCAAGTTCACTATTTCTCCTTTCGCGTGAAACACATTTGGATTTCGAGTTCACTAGTCCAATTTTGAACCGGTTGTATGGTAGCATATAAGTCCAACTTTCAATTGCATTTTGCGCATATTATTTTCCTGAGGTTTGCCTCACATGTTGTCATCTTTACTGTTTTGTCATCATTACATTGCATTGATCATGAATTTTCAAATAATTGGCTTCGCGAAGCGTGTAAATCCACATTTCAATTGTATTTCGAGCATGTCATTTATATCATGCCCCTAAACTACATTGGTTTGATACCTTACAAAGGGATATGTAGGCAACCTTCGGGTTTAACAAACTGTATTTCCATCTTCTTTGTTTGCCTAAGTCTTACAACCTTATCAAAAGGGTCGTCTTCGGGTATTGACATTCACTCATGTTGTGAAATGACTTCAAGCTCTTTCAAAGAGGGGCAACTATAGACACCCCATTTTGACCGGTCTTAAGACTTGGCACTTTCTTTTGATCACCTGATGATAAAAATTGAAATATGCAATTTTATGAATTTCTCAGCAAAAAAGTTAGATTTAAGCTTTAATTCCAACCTTACACCCGTTTTGACCAATTTATTTTAGACCTATTCAAAGATCTTTTTTTGCATTTTTCTTGTTTGAAAAATTTAGCAGTTTTGGAAAAATTGGCTCTTCAAAAACTGAATGGGTTTTGGCTCTTCCAAATTGGATTTTCAGAAAAAGGAAAGGGTGTTGGCTTTTCAAAATTACCTCTTCAAAAGATGAAAAAGTTTTGGCTTTTCAAAATTGACTCTTCAAAAAATGAAAGGATGTTAGCTCTTGGTTTATATATAGAAGATTGTTAAAGCTATGGGGAGAGGTCTTAATTTTGATCAAAAGAAAGTTGATTTTGTGAAAATTGAGAGAATATACAAAGTGAGGTATAAACCTCTTACCTTTCATTGATATTCCACTGATATACACCATCTAATATTTTAGTAAAGCTAAAACTCAAAACTTCTTGCTGAGATTCTAAAGCATACTCCATAACCGTGAGGGTGTAAAGAAGAAAAATTTGATAAATCAGAAAATCCACCATTTCCTTTAAAGTATCCTCTAGCGGTAAATAGTAACCCTAACGATGAATAGTACATCAGGCGATGAATAGTGACCGCAGATGAAAAAATGTCAGATAAGATGAGTAATGACCAAGGAGGGTGAATAGTATTGCCAGCGATGAATAGTACTCCACTGGATGAATAGTGCTCCCGCAAAATAAATTTTCCTAGGCGAAACAGAGCAGACAACAATAGATAGAATAATTTCCGGTTGATGAATAGTGCTCCACCATATGAACAGTAACAGGTGAATGAATAGTAACTTTTTTTTATTTATATTTTTTTATCTTATTCGTATGATTTGTTAGTTTCGGTTTATGTTGTAATAATCTCCTAATCCCTCGTCTTTTTTTTAATTTCATTTTATAATTATTCAGTGTTGTAATAATTCCCAACCCCCGGTTCTTTCTATCCCTTTCTATGTATGTCTTCCAACCCCATTTCTTTCTATCCCTTTTATTTACTCGCTTCCCATATCTATACATAGCATCATATTTTCCTTTTCAACATTGTAGACACCCCATTTTTGACCGCCCTTAAGAATTGGGCACTACTGATGTTTCATTTGGTGGAGAAAGGTGTGCAGGGCAAAAGTTCAGTTTCTTCGGCAAGGGGAAATTCAAATCTCAACTTCATACCCCATTTTGGACCAAACCTATTTTGAATGATTTTTAGACCTTAAAACCATCTCTTTCAAAACATTTTTGAATTAAAGTTTTTACAATTTTCCGAGGCTCACATTTTGTTAAATGTTGCGCTTTTCGGTAAACCGAGTCAGGACAGAGTGGAAATGAATGAAAGAGAGATGAAATCTTTGAAAAATCTTTCAAAACACCTTGTTTATGGGTTTGGAGTTGAAGAAAAGAGGAGAAGAGAGAAGAAAACTAGTTTGGGAGAAGTTCGACATGAATCTGGGTAGGACTGAAACTGCGCGGCTTCACCGAAACGGGCATAACGCTTTTCATAGAAGGCATTTTGATTCAAGGTTGGCACCGTTGGAAAGCTTACTTCCGGGGCTTCATTTTTCACTCAAGAATCTCCTAAAACCAATCCCAGACGGGGGAGATATGGTTGATTGAAGTAGGGCATCACTCCGGTTGGACTGAATCTGCGCGACTTCACCAAAACAGGCATAACGTTTTTCACAGGAGGCATTTTGATGCAAGGTTTGTGCCATTGGAAAGATAACTTCTGGGGCTTTAATTTGGACACCTGACCGACCACTTTTGGACTTCCCAATCACTGGCCAACGACCTTTATTTCCGGAAAACCAATTTTTTGTCCTGAAAAACCAGAAAAAGAAAAGGTGGTCGGCCGACCACTTGAACCTTTTGACTTGGTCGGCTGACTAGGGAAAGTGGTCATCTGACCACCTGAACTGGTTGGCCAGATTTCTCATTTTTTGTCTCAATGAGTTGAAGCCAACTGTGCCAGCTGGAAGCCTCAGAATGCATCCTCCATACACGTGTATGGAGGATGTTTAAGCTAGCTTTTAAGCTTCTTGAAGAAGCTTTAGGCCCTCTCTTCTATAAAGGAAAAGTGCCTCTTCCATTGCAAGGGTTCCAAGATTGGTGAAGGCTCATACATACACCTCTCCCTATATCTCTCTATTCCAAGCTTCAAAACACCCTTGTTCTTGCACCATTACCCTACACCTCCTAGCACAACACCTCCACCATCACTCTAAGCAACTTGGGGTTGGTTTTCAGAGATTGAAGGTGTGTTATTTTGGTCCAGAAGCTGCTGGTCCCTTTGGCTACAAGGAAAAACCAGAGTCCAGGGGCAGAAAGTGGTCGGCCGATCAGGTTTTCTGGTAGGCCAACCACCTTTTTTGGTTTTCACCATGAGAGGTGGTCGGCGGGGGGTTTCTAAGCCAATACCTGGTCGGTGGCTTTCGCAAGGTGGAGTTTCAGCCTCTTAGAGCTTTGTGTAAGTTTCTGAAATTAGCTGCAAACAATGGCGAGACAAGGCATCGCGATGGAATTTACCGACAAAGCGCATCGAGCATGCATGCATCCATTATCATCCAAAACAGAGCCGGGGTAGTCCATTTGCATGCCAGTTTATAGCTTACTTAGCTAATTTGTTAATTAGTTAGTGGTTGTGTAATAATTAATTGTAATTCG